CATAAAACTTGTACAGAAAAACATAAGTAAAAGATGTTCATAACATGAAAGTAAAAGATGTCCAGCAGATTACATTCAACAAACCGACATTACATCAAGCTAACAAGGACATTTGGATTAATGTCGGGGAATACTTCATCCATTTGAACTTCAGGGCTATCATCAGTTCTGGGAATCCTTTCTCGCATCTGTCATCCCATACGAACTTAGCTCCCTTTCGAGTGAGCTTCGTCAATGGCGACGCCAGAACAGAGAACTTCTCCACGAACTTTCTATAGTAACCTGCCAATCCAAGGAAACTACGAATTTCTTTCACGTTCTTTGCCTCTCCCATTCGGTAATGGCCTCAATCTTATTGTTATCAACTATAATTCCCGATCCTGAAACTACATGCCCGAGAAAGCCAATCTCCCTTAGCCAAAATTCACACTTAGAAAATTAAGCATAAAGTTGCTTCTCCCGTAGTGTCTCAACAACAAGCACCAATTGTTCCTCGTGCTCTTCTTCACTCTTTGAGTAAATTAAGATGTCATCTATGAACACAATCACGAACCGATCTAAGTATTTATGAAATACCGGTTCATCAAGTCCATGAATGCCGCCAGGGCGTTTGTTAACCCAAATGACATGACTAATAACTCGAAGTGGCCATACCTTGTGAGGAAAGCACTCTTCGGTATGTCATCCTCCTTTATCTTCAATTGGTGGTACCCAAACCTCAAGTCAATCTTCGAAAACATTGTTTCTCCCCGGAGCTGATCAAACAGGTCATCAATTCTAGGCAAAGGATACCTATTCTTGATTGTGACCTTGTTTAGTTGACGATAGATAATACACATTCGAAGCGTTCCATCTTTCTTTTTCATAAAGAGTACCGACGCTCCCCACGGGGAGTAGCTCGGCCTAATGAAATCGTTATCCAAAAGCTCCTGCAACTGGGTTTTCAACTCGTTAAATTATGCGGGTGCCATTCGGTATGGCAGTATAGAGATTGGTTTGGTGTCGGGCTCAACCTCGATCACGAACTCAATCTCTCTATTGGGTGGAAGTCCCGGTAAGTCTTTTGGGAAGACGTCCGGATACTTGCACACTATTCTCACATCATTGATGTCTATTTCTTCTTTGGTTTTGTCTACCATGTAAGCTAGATACACGTGACATCCCTTTCTCATCATATTTCTTGCTCTCACTGCGGATATGATACAATTTTTTGAATTGCCTCGATCACCCTCGAAGCATAAGGTATTCCCATCATTGCCTTTGAGTTCTACAACCTTCGTGTAGCAATCTACCCTAGAATGATGTTTTTCTAGCCAATCCATCCCTAGGATCGCATCAAAATCAATCATGCTCAGCAATACGAAATCACACGTCAAGGTTTGGCCATCGAATTCCACCTCACAAGATGCAAAGTAACACGTTCTCTCAACATCATCTCCTAGTGTTGTTGATACCACTAGGGTTTGTGTCATCGGTATCAATTGTATCTCTAAATCCTCGGCGAACGCCTCACTCACGAATGAACGTTGTGCCCTGGTATCGATAAGGATTCTCACATATCTCCCATTAATCCTTATTGTTCCTACATTTTAAGCCATTTAAGATACCTCTCTAACATACCGGATCTTATTTTTGTTATTATAAGCAAAGAATTGCAAAGAAGGTGGAAGGGATCGCTTTTAAGGCAGCTTCTACTTTGTTTTTGGAACTTTGTACAACCTGTATTCATATTGTTATCATTTCTTTGTGTATGATGGTCCAATAATACTCATGAGAGTTCCATTATACCTAACCATAACATACCAACAACTCTTATGAAGAACATAATTCGAAATTATGTCCTTAGAGTGGACATTTTGCTCAATGATGGTAGACGTCCGCAGTTGAGATATAAATTGGCACAATCTCACCGTTTTGATCATATCTCTTCACATACTTAACCAAATAATTAGATTAAAATTCCATCATTTATAAAATGAAAATATCTACAACTTTCATGAAGACAAAATTTTTATTTGACGAACACATCGAGGTGCACCCGGTCGGGTTTTACGGCTATACTCGATCGGGTCATCTTGGCAGTTTGCCCTGAATTGTGGCACTGAGCAATACCCGGTCAGGTATCACCCATACCCGATCGGGTTTTTTAGACAGTGTGATAAAAATACTTTTTTTAACATACCCGATAGGGTGCCACCCATACCCGATCGGGTTTGTGAGGCAGTGTCTCAAAATCCTCATTTTTTAAGGACACCCGAGCGTGTAACATGTATACCCGATCGAATTTCCTCCTTAATAGCCATTTTAAGCCCGATATCTGACCCTACGACGACCGGGCTTCAACCCCTAGAACATATACACATTAAGTAAAGATAGAATACCACATTCTCATGAGATGTTACCTGCAACGGAATCCGGGTTCGCTTAGGCATCCGCCTCCGTCATCGCATAAACTCTAGCTTGAGTTCTTCCTTGGTTCACGGAGAGTGCGCTGCTTGTACTTGCTCCGCCGTGACCCATGCTTGCATTCGGTGCTCCACTCCATTTCTTACTCGCCATGGTTGCACTGCTTGGCCCTGATGCCCGGTTCCCACCAAGTTGAGGGTAGTTCGGCCTTATGTGCCCCGTATCTCCGCATTGGTAGCACCGTGGGGGATCACGACACTTGCCCTCGTGATTCCTCTTGCAATTCCTGCACTTAGGTTTCGCCGAGGCTTGTGACCCTGAGTTTTGCCCGCCCACGCTGAGATTCCCCCTTGATGGTGGTGCGGATGCTCTGAAAGATCCTCCTCCCTCGTGGTTCCCCTTCTTGCTAGAACCTTGGGGGCCATGACCTTCCCACTTCCTCTTTTTCGCCTCTTTGGCATTTTTCATCTTTCTTTCCTCCCATTCTTTCTATTCCCTTCATGCCCTGTTCAACCACTTGACAAAACGTCATGTTAAGCAATTGTGTTGCCCTCTCACGTATGTCAAGGTCCAAGGCATTCCAAAAATGGTTCACCATTCGATTCTCATCGCAAATATACTCCGGAATAAACTTAGCAAGTTTCCTGAACTTGTGCTCAAGTTCTTTCAAAGTGCATTGACCTCCTTGGGTCAAGTTCGTGTATTCCCTCATCTTCATGTTCACCTTGAAGTCGGAGTAGTATTGGCTAAAGAACTCTTGTCGGAAGTTCTCCCAAGTGACGGCCTCGCCGTACTTCCCCTTGACTCTGTCCCACCACGTGGACGCCATTCCTTCCATCAATCTCGTCACCACTCTCATCTTCATGTTGGGTGGCAGCTGCATATCGAGGGCCGTTTCGTTGAATCTCTTGATCCATTCGGCCGCAATGGAGAAGTCTCTCGTTCCATCAAACGGTTTACATCCCAAATCTCTTGCCTCCTTGAGATGCTTCGAGATCCTTTTTATAGGAACCTCGGTACCTCGACTTCCTCGGGGTTCCATGCTTCCCCTAGGACTCACACGGCTCCCTCTCCCTGAGGCCCCTCCCAAAGCACGTCTTGCCCGGTGCCTTTGGCGATCTTGTTGGTATTGCCGGAGATATTCCTCAATCCTCTCTAGAGCATCATTATCATCACTCTCTCCACTAACGTCATCATCTTCCCCATCATATGGGGTTTCAACCGGCTCAGTCCCCGGTCGGTAAGTTGAATCCTCCTCAGACTCATAAATGCTCATCAACTGTTTCAACATGACTGTCACTTACGGTCAGCGAGTGGCCTGCACGGCCCTGTCCCCTAGACACTCTCGATGGCCCTCGACTACCATGTTGGGACCTTTCCGGTTCCTTAGAGTAACTTTCCCGGTACGTTCCGTTTCTAAAAGAAATTTAGAATGAGTCATTAGACTCGTATCAAGTGTCAATTGACAGATAGGTACTTAAAGACATCATTTGACTCAAATTGCCGCCATACCAATTGTTAAGGGTACCATCTTAACAATTAGAGACATTGCAACTCAAGTACCAAAAATTCTATAAGTACAAAACATCTTATGCTCATGGTTTTCAAATTCATTTTCAAAAAGAAATTTTAAGACTTCATTATGATGTTCACGGACTAAGACTCTGATACCAATTAAATTGTCACGCCTCGGACCTACCCGGACATGTCAACATCCCGCCATATAGTACGAATAGTCAACCGCAGTTCAACACATCCATACTATACAAAGCGTCTGGAATATCATTCACACATAGTACATCCATAAACAAACATAATGTAAAAACGTTCATTACAGCAGCGGAAACATTGATACAAGTGTTCAAGTCACACTTGGCAAACTTAGGAATTCAAGCCCTCAAATAGTTATTCAGAAAATAATACCCATGAGCATTATTTATATTGTTTTCAAAACAGAAAGGGAAGAAGCGCGAACCAAGTCTTCATCCTTCACTCTCCCCGAAGCAACGAGTGTTGGTAGCAACCTTCAAGTTCTACCTGAAACTGTGAGGTGGCCTCCCCATGAAGGGAAAGTCAGTACTTTGAAGCATTTGAAAAGTACAATGACAACTACACTATATATAATCAATGTTTCAATTTCTAAGACCCTCAATCTAGGGTGATACTATATTATAGGGTGTAACCATCGGTTACCCTATATAAAGATATACTTACCTTATATATATAAAGTCAAGTAGTCGACCCGTGGGCCCATGCTTACCTTAATGCGTCATTTCACTATAGTAGAGTCACACTTATCTATATTATTCCGTCGTGCCAGAGGCTGACTTTAGTCACTTCATTTCGTGCTAGAGGCTTCCTCTAGTCACTCTAGATTATGCTAGAGGCTTACTCTAGTCATTTCCCATCGTTCTAGAGGCTTCCTCTAGTCACTCTCCATTATGCTAGAGGCTTCCTATAGTCATCTTACGTTATGGTAGAGGCTCCCTCTAGTCATATTATCAAATTCCTAAGCAACTTCTATCCCTATAATCACTTTGTATTGAGTTGCCTTTAAGGCCTACTACTAGCTTAGCTTAGCATTTACACATTCCTACCTTAAAGTATCTCATTTTTTTGGATGAAATGTAAGTATATATATAAACCACCCAAAAAATAACATTATACAATGCATCACTCATGATCAGTTGAACTATCTAAGTTAGACTAGTCTAACCTAAATAAAACTATCAACATAAGTAGGTCGCAGCCTCTTACAACATCTTTCAACAATAAAGTCAAAACAAAACCAGCATTCCTTTAGTTTCTTTTTTGGGGCTTCATAAATAAAAGAGTTTTTTTCTTCCCATTTCTACATGTTATCTTAATCTCCTCGTATCTGTTTGGATCATACATCCTATTGCCAAACTGTTTCCAACCACTCTTTGGATCCGCACCACCTACCTGCTCTTCAGTAACCTTGGCAGCAACCTGGGGAAAAGGTGCAGCAGCAGGTTTATCAGGAATAGCAGCAGCAGGTTGCGGCTCATGGGCAGCAGCAGGATCCGGTTCAGGAAGTGCAGCAGCAGGTTTGTCAAGTTTGTCCACCCCAGCAGCAGGTTGCGGCTCAAGAGCAGCAACAGGAATTGCAGCAGCAAGTGCAGCGGGTGCAGGTGAAGTCTTAGCAGCAGCAGGTGCAGCCTGGGAAACTGTAGCAGTTTCTGGCCCAGCTGCAGGTTGTAAAACAGGTGCAGCAGGAATTGCAGCAGCAGTTTCTGGCCCAGCCGCAGCTTGTAAAACAGCAGCAGCAGCGGAAGGTGTCACCAGCTTTGCAATCTTTTTTCCTTTCTGCCTACGAACTTCCACAAATTCCCCTTCTGGGTCCACAATATCCTGCACCACAATGGTCTTCGTAGTCTCAATAGCCTTCGTGGTGGGTTCCCTAGCTATTAAAATAGCCTCATTATTATCTGGTTCATTGGTTTCAGGTTTTTCTTTTGCTGCTAGTTTCTTGCAAATGAAAGGATGGTGTCCGTATTGTTTGCAATGGAAACAGTAGTTCGGAAACGTTTCATAGAGAACCCGCTGCTCAAAAGTCCTTCCTGACGCCATCTTGATTGGAAATGAGAGGGGAGGTGGCTTTGTCACGTCCACTTCGATCAATACTCTAGCGAAGTTGTGGTTTGCCTTTTCAAGCGTTATCCTATCCGTGGTGAGTGGAACTCCAACCATAGAAGCAACATCGCTAATAGTATCCTCATTCCACATCCTCACAGGGAGCTTAGGGAATTTAATCCTAATTGGCACCTTCAAGAACTCTTCATCTTCAAAGGAGAACTCATCAGACAGAACCTTCAAAACCAATAGCTTCCCATAGAGGGTATAAGGCCCCTCAAGCATAACTTTAGTCCTATCAGCTTCGATTTTGAATTTAAAAACAACCCAACCCTTATCATGTGGTTTGATTTCACAGTGTACTCCCCATTTTTTTTCAAGGCTATAGGTTGCCTTTAAACCAGGAAACCTTCCGGTAAAAAATCCCACCAGACAGTAGCCAAAGATATCCACCATTGAAGGTAGCACACGGTCCGAAAAATCCAGAAAATTACTGGTTGGTGGAATATACCTCAGTTTAAGCCCTTCGGTAGGAGCTCGGTTGTCTTTAAACAGTGTACTCCATTGCTTCCTCTTTGGTTCATTGGTATCATCCACAGCTCCAGTAGGTGAAGTAGCTTCATTTGGTTTAATACCTATAGTTTGGTGCTGTGTAGACCGGGTGACAGCAAAAATCACCCCTTCAGCATGTTTCACCTTGTTCCCAGGAGATTCACTGCCTTCAAGCAATGCACCATCTAGCTGTGGAGCCTCTATCATCCCTGCAGCTCAGGTTGTTGTCTGCCCAGGCAGTCCACTCCCAGTAGGTTGCATAACAGCGCTAGCTATGCCGGAATTCTTTGCCAGCTTCATTGGCTTTGCAGCGTTCAAGGAAGGGAATTCCTCATCCGACCCTTCCAATACAGAGAATCTGGAGGAAGCTCGAGTGGTACGAGTCGAAGAATTAGCCCCTGGTCCCTGTTTAGTTCGTACCATTTCAAGGTCTCCAATTTAACCAAGAAATGAACAGTAAAACCGACGCCAGCAGAGGGTAGTCGTCTGGCCTTCTTATCTCAAGCAAAACAGGTCCCCAGGTTCGTCCAAAGTAGATAAACACCAGGGACACAAATTGAAATCTACACACAGCTAGCAGAATTTGAAAAAGAAACACCGAACAAGAAGTCGTTCTCAAAATCTAATGAACAGTCCTCTGCGCGAGAATAGATCGATTTGGGGCTTATAAACCCTAAATCGATAAGCTTCCCACATCGCCGAAGTCTGACCTGAAACAAGGAACGAAAATCGCAACAAACTTTCAGCTCAAAACCAGAATCGGAGATCTTCATCCTGCCGCGTGAGTCTGGAACGAGGGTTCCAGAGAGACGCTCTCAACACGCGTGAAACCAGAATCGGAGATCTTCATCATGCTAACATTTTGGCTAATATTTCAATACTAACCAATTAACCTTAGAACAACCAAGTTCAAATTCATAATCATATTTTTCATCTCAATCGATCTTCCAATTCAAATATGATTAAATCTTAATATTAAAAATATCACTTTTATCTATTCATGAATTCTCTACATGAAATAAAAGTATATTTTATCACAATCTTTCACAATTTATTTCATTATCATGCTATCATATTCATAATACACAATCATACATAATTTCTTCTAAATTTGTATATCATGTTTCATTTACTCATATGCAATGGTATTTTCATTTAGGCATTATTAATCATTAATAATCCATGAAAATCACATTTAATACTTTAGGTAATCTTATGAAATTAACTCGCTAATTATAAGCAATATAATCAGTCATCCTCACCTCGAATGGGCTTTAAGAAGTTCTACCCTTCTGGGTTGATCTCCTGCGAAACTCCGGCGAACTCCGGCGAACTCCGGCGAAACTCCGGAGACAACTAGAAACACCTTAGTCAAGCTCCTAACAAGGTTTTATCATCACAAAACCCATATCAACACAAATAACCCCTAAAATGTTATTTTTCGGCGAGCCGGTCATTTTGGCTTCTAAATCCGTTCTTGGACTTGGAACTATCTTCCAACCCCTTGTTCTACACTTCTAAACATGTAGAACAATCTTAGGGTCCTCCATATGACATATGCATTATACGATAGATAAAAAGTAAAGGAAAAGTTATTATAAGGTCATTACCTTAATCCTTTCACACTTTTCCTATCTTTTTCCTTCCTTAATCTTCTTCCTTGGACCTCTATTGTTTGAGATCGAATATGCAGCTATGGAGGATGATATCGAGCTTCTATCTCACTTATTGTATGGTTGGGTCGAGCTAGGTGATTGAAAGGGAGAGGAGATGCTCACTTTTGTCTCAAATGACAAATGAGTGAGGGTGGGGGATCCTCCATGGTACTTTTGATGCTAAAAGCTTCTCCTCCACATTTCCTTTGTCAACTCCACCCCCTTCACATTAATTTGAGCACACAAAAACGTGGGGTGGCCCCCACTCATGTGAGAGGTCATCCCTTTATGTCCAATCTGTACAATCGGCCCCGAAAGTTGTATTTCTCGGATTGTTTTAATTATATTTTATTTTATCGAGTCAAATAAAATATAACACATATTCTTCATCATTATAGGACTTTATAATGGATGAACATTCTCCATCTTAAATTTGGAAGTCTCCGAAATTCATTTCAGACTGTTATCCGGTAAATTACCAAAACTGGTAATTGGGCCTCGTTTGACCAACGGGTCAACTCTATGCCCTATCTATGGCCCAACTAAAATATCCACAACCATATACATATAATCTATACCAAGATGAATATAATATTTGGTCATGGAATTATCGGGCAGTCCACGTTCCCAGGGTGGGCCCCACGTGCAATTTACTATTCACGCAAAAGAAATAACAAAAATTTGCAACTTCTCAAATTCATAATTCATTCTTCAAGGTTTATTACATGATTTACTAAAAAGTAAATATGTATGGGGATGGTGTTACATCCTTCGTGCTGCCCCGGGGTCTTATGCTACACGACGCTGATGATCTTCATGAAGAACATGTATATCACCTAGGATCCTTCGCTTTTCACTCAACCATCTTCTCACCGATTCTCCATGTTGCCCCTGGGTCTTATGCTACGTGAGGCCGATGATCTTGATGAAGAACAGGTCAATCCCCTAGGATTCCCTAGCTCTGGGAGTTGTTTTCTCCCCCCCCCCCCCCCCCCATTTTTTTTGGAAGGAAGGATATTTTTGTGAGAATTTCTTCAGGTGCTCCACATTCCACATGACGATGGCGCGCCCCTCCATTGTGTGGAGGGAGAACATCTTATGAGAGTATATCCTGGATACCCTGTACGGGCGTACGACCAATGTTATCCCTGCAGGATGATGTTTCCCGCTAGCGTACGAGGCCCCTGGTGGCTGGAGCAGATGCCCTCATGGATTTCCTTCATGACTGCGGCAGCTAAGCTCGGCGGTCGACATCCGAGGTACAACATGCCAAACGTCTTCTCGTACAGTTGTCCATCCATAACCTCGAAGCTCGGGGCTCGCCTCTTGATCCAGGCACCCCTCCTAGCTGGTCGGCCATTTGGTTCCAAGGGACGGGTCCCTTCCCTGAGGTAGCCAGCCACTTCGGTCGTCCAGTTTGGATCTGCAAAAAAATGGTTGATACCTGAATAGTGTCTTTTGCCAGACGGAGGAGTACTTATTCAACCCCTTTCCGCACCGTAGGGGTATCCCGGGTTTCCGCACCCCCAAATATCACTTGATCTCCAACTTCTTCTTGCGGTCGTCCGGCCCGAGTGACCCTTCGGGCCGTTTGTCGGCATCTTTGAACTCCCCCTCCCGCCAGTTGTCCCGACGCCAGGTATGCGGCTTCTTGTATGGATGCATCTGGTTCTGGGAGCCCGGCCCCTCTGTGAACTCTCTGAGGTAGCCCCTTCGGATAAGTTCATCGATGGCTGCCCTAAGGTTGCGGTAGTGATCCGTGTTGTGCCCGATCTTGCGGTGCTATTCGTAATAAACCTATAGTTCTTGCCCATTGGCTCATCAGAAATTGGCGGCTCTTCGAGCATTCCTTTGTCTTTGATGGGCCTCAAAGATTTGGCTCACCGTGAACGCCAGAGGGATATGGTCGACCTCTGTATGTCGTCCGTATGTGGCCTAACCCTGTGTCGCCCACGGGGCGTGGGAGCCGTTCGTCTTCTTCTTTTTTGCTTTGGGGGAGTCTGATGGCCTCGGCCCCAGACGGTCCGACATTTTGCGGGTTGCAGGAACGGAAACCCTGTTCCTTTAGGCAATTTCTTCCTCGATTGCTGCATATTTTGGTGCCCTGGTCAGCACCTCGACATAACTGCTCTCGAGGTTCCTTTTCAAATCCAGGTAAAGATCCCCAGTTACAAGTGTGTTGGTGAAAAGGGTGATGCTCGTGCACTCCGTCAGGTCCTCGACCTTCAGGGTTTCATGCCTCCACCATATGAGGAAGGTGGATAGGGTTTCCTCCTTCCCTTGGCGGGCGCTCGTCAGCCAGCTGAAATGCTTCTTCGGTGTGGAGTTGGAGGCGAACTATGACATGAACTGTCTGGAGAATTGTTCAAAGCTATCAATGGATCCGGGTCTGAGCCGCCCGAACCATTCTTGCGTCGGACCTCTGAGGGTGCTGAAGAACAGCCTACAAATAGCCTCATCGGAGGCTCCCATCATGGAGAGTGCTCCCTGGAAAGAAAGCAGATGAGCTTTAGGATCTCCTTCCCGTTGTAAACCAGGGCGCCAGACGGCCTAATGTCCCTGGGAATCTCCACCGCCATGATCCTGGCGGAGAAAGGAGATGATAGGGCAATCCTGGTCTGAGCTGGAGCAGTATCCACTCGTCGACTCAGCTCATTGATTTGCCTCTGAAGATCCACGAGCATCGCATCTTGCGAGTCGGTAGTGGTGATTGTGGGGGGTTACCAGTGCTAAGGCATTTTCGGTACGTACGGCATCAACGCCATGCTGCCTGCGGATGAAGCGAGCCTCCTGCCTTAAGCCGCTGATCATGGGGGTCTGCTCTTTGGTCGTTGTATCATTGTGGGGCATCACTAGGCTGCGATCCCGGGTCGCGTGCTGCTGTGCCCTCCTGCCAAACCTGCCCCCAACTCCCCCCATATTCGGAGAGTGGACGTTCCTGGCGATCCTAGTGTGGACCGAGGAGCGAGACTCCGCGGTCTCGCTTGTATGCCCCTCGAGCATCTGCAAAGTGCGGATGTGAGAGGACGGGGATGGTATCCACCATCTCCCTCAGATGCTCGACTCCATCTCCCGCTCATTTTCCAAACCGCGGATGGTATCCGCCATCTCCCTCAGGGAATCATGGCCCCCGAGTTCATGGGGAATCCTGTCAGTAAGCACCCCAAAGCCCTCGCGGCTCCACAAGCTGCTGGACTGGGCGTCTGCCGCCTGCTGGCGTGCTTTTTGGCTGCGTGACAGCCGATCGGAGAGATCATAGGAGCTACCTTCATTATTTCCTGCCATCTTACTTGTTTTGAGTTGTTTCTAGAGTGGTTTCTTAGCTGCGAGCTTATTTTGAAAGAACTTTTTTATCAAGTTTCCCACAAACGGCGCCAGTGTTGAGGTTTATTTCTTTCAACCCGTAGGACCAACACACAACCTAAGGGTTTCGAGTGGGTAGTTTAGGAGAATAAGGTCAAACAAGTAAGATGAGGCCCAATAAGAAGTCTTGGTTTAATTCCACTGTTACAAAGCTTGAGGCCGTTCGTACCTACAAGGCGTGAGGCCGTTCGTACTTACAAGGTGTGAGGCCGTTCGTACAGATGCTGTGCTACGAGATAATAAGAAAGCTACAATACTAGAGTGCTAAGTTGCCACCCTTTACAATGAAATAAATGCTTCTATTTATACTGTCTGATGGTGGTTGAGCATGCTGATGTGGTGGGTTGTGGTTGGCTTGGATCCCAACCACCAAATCTCTGTATGAAATGGCTTCCCAACCACCATATCTTTGCATTAAATGCGCTTCTGGCCAGAACCTTGGATTCCCGCCAGAGGTTGGGGACGAGCGTCCCCAAGAATTGGGTTGTGGTTAGCTTGGATCCCAACCATCAAATCTCTGTATGAAATGGCTTCCCAACCACCATATCTCTGCATTAAATGCGCTTCCCGACAGGATATTGGCTCCCCGCCAACGGGCGGGGATGTTCGTCCCCATGAGTCTGCCTTCTGTTTTCCTGTTGGGCCCAAAGTCCTGCGAGACGTGCGTCAGCCGCTGCTCCTGGGTCAGAGCACCTAGCTTTGGATACGTACATCCCCTGAGTTGTATCTGTTGGGACCAAGCTTTTCCGCGATTCGGGGAGGATGATCCAGTTTGCTCGGGCTACTGGAGACGTTCGTCGGGTGGCCCAATCCTTGTGGCGTTGTGTTTCTGGGGATGTTCGTCGGGTGGCCCAATCCTTGTTTCGTAGGGTGGGCCTT